ATTGTTTTTTATTAATAATAAATAACAATATCAGGCCTATAACAATTGCGCTACATTTTAGTTACCGTCTCCTTATCTATTTCGATAAAAAGACCGAGTTTTTGGGAATTTGGAAGGTGTAAAGTTTTTTAAGATCTCTAATAATATCTGTGACAGGATTTTACACATTATCAAACAAAATGGTTTTGTGTTACTAGATGTAAATCCGACTTTGTTTTACTAGGAGATTTGAGGAACAGTCAATTTTTGATAATTGTGATTCAAGGGAGGAACTGCAATATTAACTTTACATTTATTTTCGACACAATACAATTGAAAATATTAAACAATAATATGTCAGTTATTGACAATATTTACTAGTTCGTAGTAGTATTTACTGGCTACTAAGTAGCTTGATGTTGTTTGATCAAGTCTAAGGATCCATTTTATGTATTTGTTTTGTACTCCTTCGATTATTTTGTGCCTTGACTATCCCCACATTTCCCCTCCATACATCAGTATACTTACTACCAGTACTTCAAATAAATACATTTTCTTTTCCCAACTTTCCTTGAAACCCTTTTCGGATATGCTCCATACTTCCCTATAACCTTCTTCAATTTATTTTCGTTCTTATGTGAATATTATCTTTTTCGTTCTTTCACCACCTTTTCTACCTCTCATTATCTTCGATTTTATCTTTGTGAAAAATAGAAAATGTTTTGTGTTTTATTCTTTATTTCTTTTCCACAATAGTTGATTTTGCTTGCAACTTTTTAATGTTTACTTCAACTGCGATAGATGCATATCGCAATTTTCAAAGTAAATAGTAATAACTATTATAGTAAAGCAATTTCAGTAAATAAAGTTGACAATAGAGATCCATATAATTAATAAGCTAAAGTTATTTCTATTCTCGACGATAGCTTTAGTCATAGCTTTGGTCGTTCAGCAGCATTATCCTTCAACAGTGTTTTACAGTTGCAACGTACGGTATGGGTTAGTCCTTATCGAAAGCGAAATTATGAAGTTAATATATTACGTGTATTTTTTGGTCATTGTGTGGTAATAATTGTAAAATCTGTAGGGAAAATTTGCGGAAAATTTTCAACATGTAAGGTAGGCGTTCCTTTTTGTATCCTAAAGGTTTGTCTGATTTAAATTATTGAATTCTGTTTAAAGTAAAAAACAAAACATCACATATTAAACATTTTTTAAATTTCTCCAACTAGAGTAAAAGTACCTACTTATTGGTTATAAAGATGAAATAAAGAAAACATCTTACAGAGTTGATATGACATGCTTAAAACAGTGTTTCAAGACACGTATTTTAAAGAGTCGTAAAAATACGAAAATAAAACTATTTTAAAACATAAAAACACGTGTATAATAGCAATAGTATAATAGTATGAAACGAGTTTTATGATTAACACGTTGGTGATAAAATAGGCACGATACGAAAAATGGTAAAAACAAAATTAATAGCAAAGTATTTCGACGGAAATCTAATTTTCTAAATAAAATTCAAAATTGCTTCATTTTTAAATTTTTAAATTGCTTGAAGTAAATTTAAAGGGGTGCCTTTTTTAAGATTACTGAAAACGCAGCGCTTAAAAAGGGGGCATTTTGTGGTTTTTGACATCTTTAGAGAGAAAACTATCATACTTAATCATAAAACCTTTAACGCAATTGTTTAATACTTCCTTTTTTATTCTCTCTTCACACTGACGTAGCAAAGGGGAAGCCACGTGGGCCACACCCCCCCTAGAATCCTCCTGGCTTACCTTAGAATATTAATTACTTAAGTACACATAATAAGATAAATCTGCAATAATTTACTTACATTCTTTTTTGTAAAATTTCTTCAAAGAATCGTACCAATCAATTCTGTTATTGTGAACAGTTTTCAAATTATTCTGCCGTTCAATGTTATTCAACTGTTCGAACTGTTTATAAAGGAAGAGCCAGTGACCAATTTTGAGTTGACATTTCAAAAGTCACCAAAACTTACCTACTCAATATTTAATACATGTCAGAAATCTTCATGATATGATATGTTATATCATTAGTCACAAAACTTTGGGAAATTATTTTCAATAATATTTTAAATCCATAAAAAATCGCCAGAACTTTTTCGTTCCTAGTAATTGTTGACAGAACTTAATTCAACAAGCCTATCTCGCTCGCACTCGTGTGGTAACGTTTTTCGTTCTGACAATTCGTTTTCCAAATACATTTTCTTTAAATTTCAAATCTACTAAAATGACAAAAGTACAGCTATTTTTAATAAATATTTGTAGCGTTATGTCAACAACAACGAGGGACGAAAAAGTTCTGGCGATTTTTTATGAATTTAAAATATTATTAAAAATAATTTCCCAGTTTTGTGACAAAATTAAATCTTTTTTTCTACCCTCTTTAAAATTTTAGGGTAGTCTACTCCGGCCAGAAATGGCTTTTATTATCAGACAGCTATTGAATATTGAGTAAGTTTTGTGGCTTTTGAAATGACAACTCAAAATTGGCCACTGGCTCTTCCTCTATTACATCTATCTTAGAAAATGGCATTAAATTGTAGAGTAGTGTTGGTAGATAAATGAACATTGATAAATAGAGTATTGTATTAATGTTACTAGGATGGATGCTGTATGCTGGATCGTTGTTTTCGTTATCCTCGACGTACCACAGAAAATCGTGATTGCGGGTGCCAATTCGCCCTCTTACATCGGGCGGACTGCACCTAGCGTCAACCCCAATCTCTTCGATCAGTAAGTTCTCATATCAGCAAAACAAAAAAAAAAACACACAACAAGCCTATTTATCATATTAGACTGATCATCATTGTTATTAATATCACGAATAACACGAGTGATTACATTATTCTCTCACTTGCACGCTCTGCACGGGATTTTATCAGTATTAATAAAGGAATAAATGATGTATGTATTAATTCATACATAAATTTTTTGCTTTCATCGAGTACCTACCATTATAAATCACCATGTTGTTGCTAGTACTTAGAATTGGTTATATACACTAGTGGCGAGTTAAGAACCGAACATAGGGATATTCCATATTCAGGTACATGCATTCATCAAAAGGTGGCATTTTAAAAAATTCGACGCGACATACAAATATTAGTACAAATACCTTTATGTTCGGTAAACTTTTCTTGCTTTACCTGTTTAGTTTATTAACGCGATATATGATTATAATTAATCAAGCAAAGATTTTAGTAATTAGATTCAAAATATCAAAAAATGAAACTTCAAAATTTTGTTTATCACATTATCCTTAAATTAGATCTAGATAGACATCGATTTTTTGCTTTTTTTGTCAAAAGTAGAAGATATTAAAATATTCTTCGTACAGTGTACCTAAAATATTATCCCTTCCTAGAATACATTTGACACATTTGCTTTGAAGGAAACCCTTATGAATTTAATATATGATAATGCAAAAAAAATAGCTGATAAGGCTCTTACATTTTTCGTCAATTCTGAACTAGGAAGAGGCTACTTCTTGTAATAATTATTCAAAACATAATAATACATTTAAAGTTTCTACATTTTCTTAAATAGAATGATGACATTATATTAATAGTCAGTAATAGGTAATGACTAAAATCCAAATACTTAAAAGATAGTAATACTTTCCGTAAATATGTATGTACCTTATNTTATAACAACATACATATACAGATCAACGTAAAAAGACCTGTAGAATTAAAATTTGCAAACAGATTTACAATTAGACTTCAATTAAAAAAAATACAGACACCTGACGTACAACTTAATGATCTCTTACACACTTCAGTTTCCTAAATTTATTTCATTATATACAAAATGTAATTTTATAACAACATACATATACAGATCAACGTAAAAAGACCTGTAGAATTAAAATTTGCAAACAGATTTACAATTAGACTTCAATTAAAAAAAATACAGACACCTGACGTACAACTTAATGATCTCTTACACACTTCAGTTTCCTAAATTTATTTCATTATATACAAAATGTAATTTTATAACAACATACATATACAGATCAACGTAAAAAGACCTGTAGAATTAAAATTTGCAAACAGATTTACAATTAGACTTCAATTAAAAAAAATACAGACACCTGACGTACAACTTAATGATCTCTTACACACTTCAGTTTCCTAAATTTATTTCATTATATACAAAATGTAATTTTATAACAACATACATATACAGATCAACGTAAAAAGACCTGTAGAATTAAAATTTGCAAACAGATTTACAATTAGACTTCAATTAAAAAAAATACAGACACCTGACGTACAACTTAATGATCTCTTACACACTTCAGTTTCCTAAATTTATTTCATTATATACAAAATGTAATTTTATAACAACATACATATACAGATCAACGTAAAAAGACCTGTAGAATTAAAATTTGCAAACAGATTTACAATTAGACTTCAATTAAAAAAAATACAGACACCTGACGTACAACTTAATGATCTCTTACACACTTCAGTTTCCTAAATTTATTTCATTATATACAAAATGTAATTTTATAACAACATACATATACAGATCAACGTAAAAAGACCTGTAGAATTAAAATTTGCAAACAGATTTACAATTAGACTTCAATTAAAAAAAATACAGACACCTGACGTACAACTTAATGATCTCTTACACACTTCAGTTTCCTAAATTTATTTCATTATATACAAAATGTAATTTTATAACAACATACATATACAGATCAACGTAAAAAGACCTGTAGAATTAAAATTTGCAAACAGATTTACAATTAGACTTCAATTAAAAAAAATACAGACACCTGACGTACAACTTAATGATCTCTTACACACTTCAGTTTCCTAAATTTATTTCATTATATACAAAATGTAATTTTATAACAACATACATATACAGATCAACGTAAAAAGACCTGTAGAATTAAAATTTGCAAACAGATTTACAATTAGACTTCAATTAAAAAAAATACAGACACCTGACGTACAACTTAATGATCTCTTACACACTTCAGTTTCCTAAATTTATTTCATTATATACAAAATGTAATTTTATAACAACATACATATACAGATCAACGTAAAAAGACCTGTAGAATTAAAATTTGCAAACAGATTTACAATTAGACTTCAATTAAAAAAAATACAGACACCTGACGTACAACTTAATGATCTCTTACACACTTCAGTTTCCTAAATTTATTTCATTATATACAAAATGTAATTTTATAACAACATACATATACAGATCAACGTAAAAAGACCTGTAGAATTAAAATTTGCAAACAGATTTACAATTAGACTTCAATTAAAAAAAATACAGACACCTGACGTACAACTTAATGATCTCTTACACACTTCAGTTTCCTAAATTTATTTCATTATATACAAAATGTAATTTTATAACAACATACATATACAGATCAACGTAAAAAGACCTGTAGAATTAAAATTTGCAAACAGATTTACAATTAGACTTCAATTAAAAAAAATACAGACACCTGACGTACAACTTAATGATCTCTTACACACTTCAGTTTCCTAAATTTATTTCATTATATACAAAATGTAATTTTATAACAACATACATATACAGATCAACGTAAAAAGACCTGTAGAATTAAAATTTGCAAACAGATTTACAATTAGACTTCAATTAAAAAAAATACAGACACCTGACGTACAACTTAATGATCTCTTACACACTTCAGTTTCCTAAATTTATTTCATTATATACAAAATGTAATTTTATAACAACATACATATACAGATCAACGTAAAAAGACCTGTAGAATTAAAATTTGCAAACAGATTTACAATTAGACTTCAATTAAAAAAAATACAGACACCTGACGTACAACTTAATGATCTCTTACACACTTCAGTTTCCTAAATTTATTTCATTATATACAAAATGTAATTTTATAACAACATACATATACAGATCAACGTAAAAAGACCTGTAGAATTAAAATTTGCAAACAGATTTACAATTAGACTTCAATTAAAAAAAATACAGACACCTGACGTACAACTTAATGATCTCTTACACACTTCAGTTTCCTAAATTTATTTCATTATATACAAAATGTAATTTTATAACAACATACATATACAGATCAACGTAAAAAGACCTGTAGAATTAAAATTTGCAAACAGATTTACAATTAGACTTCAATTAAAAAAAATACAGACACCTGACGTACAACTTAATGATCTCTTACACACTTCAGTTTCCTAAATTTATTTCATTATATACAAAATGTAATTTTATAACAACATACATATACAGATCAACGTAAAAAGACCTGTAGAATTAAAATTTGCAAACAGATTTACAATTAGACTTCAATTAAAAAAAATACAGACACCTGACGTACAACTTAATGATCTCTTACACACTTCAGTTTCCTAAATTTATTTCATTATATACAAAATGTAATTTTATAACAACATACATATACAGATCAACGTAAAAAGACCTGTAGAATTAAAATTTGCAAACAGATTTACAATTAGACTTCAATTAAAAAAAATACAGACACCTGACGTACAACTTAATGATCTCTTACACACTTCAGTTTCCTAAATTTATTTCATTATATACAAAATGTAATTTTATAACAACATACATATACAGATCAACGTAAAAAGACCTGTAGAATTAAAATTTGCAAACAGATTTACAATTAGACTTCAATTAAAAAAAATACAGACACCTGACGTACAACTTAATGATCTCTTACACACTTCAGTTTCCTAAATTTATTTCATTATATACAAAATGTAATTTTATAACAACATACATATACAGATCAACGTAAAAAGACCTGTAGAATTAAAATTTGCAAACAGATTTACAATTAGACTTCAATTAAAAAAAATACAGACACCTGACGTACAACTTAATGATCTCTTACACACTTCAGTTTCCTAAATTTATTTCATTATATACAAAATGTAATTTTATAACAACATACATATACAGATCAACGTAAAAAGACCTGTAGAATTAAAATTTGCAAACAGATTTACAATTAGACTTCAATTAAAAAAAATACAGACACCTGACGTACAACTTAATGATCTCTTACACACTTCAGTTTCCTAAATTTATTTCATTATATACAAAATGTAATTTTATAACAACATACATATACAGATCAACGTAAAAAGACCTGTAGAATTAAAATTTGCAAACAGATTTACAATTAGACTTCAATTAAAAAAAATACAGACACCTGACGTACAACTTAATGATCTCTTACACACTTCAGTTTCCTAAATTTATTTCATTATATACAAAATGTAATTTTATAACAACATACATATACAGATCAACGTAAAAAGACCTGTAGAATTAAAATTTGCAAACAGATTTACAATTAGACTTCAATTAAAAAAAATACAGACACCTGACGTACAACTTAATGATCTCTTACACACTTCAGTTTCCTAAATTTATTTCATTATATACAAAATGTAATTTTATAACAACATACATATACAGATCAACGTAAAAAGACCCGTAGAATTTAAATTTGCAATCAGATTTACAATTAGACTTCAATTAAAAAAAATACAGATATCTGACGTACAACTTTATGCTCTGTTACACACTTCAGTTTCCTAAATTTATTTCAACATGCACAAAAAGTATTTCTATAATAGCATACATTTACATATACATTTAAAATAACTCGTAGAATTGAAATTAACAATCAGATTTTGAATTACACCTCAATTAAAACAAAAAGTGGCATCTAACACACAACTTTGTACTTAGTTACATAGACAACTTTCATAAATTTGCTTAAACATATATAAGTAAGTATTTTAAGATTAATTAAATTCATCATTCCATGCGTAAAATATGTAGAATCAAATCTACAAGTAGATTCAAAAATGGACGTCAGTTAAATGAAATATACCCACTGGAAGTAAAACACTGTGCTTGCTTATTTTTGAGAGATTCTTTTCTCTTATCCTCTTGATCCATGATCTTATAATAAGGCAACTTCATTCCAAAAATGACATGGACTTTAAATCTGCAAATAGTTTTGCAATCCAACCAATAAAAACAAAGCCACGTCTACAAAGGTATTATATGTACTGTTATTTCAAATCATTAAATCTACTTGTGCATATTTTTACAATACAAATTCACAGTTGTATGTGAATGAGGCCTAAAACTAAACCGTACATGTTAATTTATTCCTTAGAAAAATATGGCTCAGGTATCTCTTTATGTTGGGCTTCCTTCATACAAGAAAACATATTTTCTTTAACGGAACGATTTCGTTCCTGAATAAAATATGCCAAGCAATCCAATCCTTCCATACATTTTGTTAATTCTGAAATTGTAATTTATGAAAGAAGGTAAACGGAATAAGAATAAAAATCCTCTGGGAAATGTCCATGATAACACTGGCGTACATTTTTAATTTCAAAGGAAAAATATANCATCGACATCATTCAAGACAGTACAATTGTAGGGATAGATATACGGGGGAAGAAGATTAGTATGCTTAGATTTGCAGATGATATAGCAGTATTACCATCTAGCAAGGAGTTAGAAATAGCTTTAAATAAATTGGAAGCGGTAAAAGCGCGGCGTTGTACGGGTGCGAAACATAGACGGTGAGCGTGGCGGAAAAGAAAAGGTTAACAGCGTTCGAAATGTGGTGTTACAGGCGAATGAAGAGGATACCGTGGATAAAGAAGGTTAGAAATGAAAAGGTGTTAGAAAGAATAGGAGAATAGAGAACCCTATGGAAGTCAATAAGAAATAGGCAAGGTAGGTTAGTAGGACACCTTCTCAGGCATGAAGGTCTAATCAGGGACATATTAGAGGCAGAAACGGGGGTTAGGAGGGGTAGAGGTAGACCAACATTAGATTATTGTTCGCAAATAGTTAAAGATGTGGGTTGTTTTAGTGTTAGGAAAATGCGAAGATTAGCTCAGGATAGGAAAGAGTGGAGGTACGTGTCCAACCAGTCTTAGGACTGACGACCTTACGATGATGATTCTGGATATGCGTACCTACATTTGATTATCGGCAATCTTCTTTGTGTTATTTACAAAGGGAAGGTACTAATTTAGGGTCTTTAGTGATCCTTTTTGGATCAATAATTTTAGTAGGTATATAAATAAGTAAGTGTGTTCGTTTTTCAATTTCAGAGCCGCTGGCCTACTGGTTCGATCGACAGAGAGCCTAGGGGATTATCCCGAACCCGAAGGCAACGAGACCGGACTAATTCAGCAATTTTCATTTCCAACAGCGGCCCCGGTTTCGATTCGAAAGAGTTCATGAGACGTTACGGGTCGATTTCTCGGCTTTGCCGAAAAGCTCGCAGCGTTGATAACATATCACTCGACGAAAGTAAAAAGCACTTCGGATTGCCCACACTGTCCATTTCCGGACCGTCTCCGCCAGTAGAAGACATTGACGATCCGGAAGAATTGCAGAAATTCATCTGATAAAATCTCGATTAAACAGGTAAGTCTTTTCGTTGTGACTATTGTGCACACCGCGGGAGCACACGGGCTTCGAAATTAGTAATAAATGAGTAAAAAAAGCAATTTTCTGGTGCCCTATGGCATCAGGAGTCCTTTAAAATACTTTTAACTAATTTTTAGTATAGAAGAAACTTTAATTCTACATCACAGTTATCAAGCCCGAATAACGATAACGCTTTAACCTATTGATTAAATTGTTCAACATTTTTAAGTTTAAAGCTCCCTGTATAAGAACCTCGAAGTTATTACACTACTTACCATCGTGTTCCCACAGGTGTGTGCGAATGTTTCAGTTTTGTGTTATTAACCGATGGTACCTATGGTAAAAATTAACGACGCGAAAAAGGTTTTTCAAAATTTTTCAAAGCGTTTTTAACTGTTATTGCAGGTTCCGGAACATTCAATTTTTGGAACACTACTGCCTTTCACACGTCAAAACAGCTCCGTTTTACTACTTCTATTTTTCTACAAAAGTAATAACTGCTGGGAACAAAAAGAAATAATAAATGTACTTACTTATATCAAAATTCAGGAAAAATTTCCCGCTCTAAAGTTTCACGTGTTTTAAAATTTTAAACTTACTTATACAAAATTTATAATTTCCTGATGTCTTTACTGCGTAATGAACGTATAAATTGTCAATTAGACCATTCTGTACATATTACTTAATTGGTAGAATTTGTATAGTGTAGTAATTATATAGAACACATTTAATTACTATTTCGTTTTCCTTAAATTAAATGTCGACTATCTATTTAAGCAAAAATTGATACTTTTAGGGATGTAAGGGACCAAAGTTTGGTACCGTTAATGAAGCATTGAAAATTATCTCATATTTTCCATTTTGTCAATATACACTATATTTTTCGTTAAAAAAGTACAATTTCACGTTTCTTACTTCTTTCATTGGTTTTTTTTGTTCGATTTAACGAAAAATAGCTTAACAAATATTTTACTATTGTACAATATACCCTATCGGCGAGTGATAATAAAGAAGTACCAAAAAATGTTTATAATTTAGCATTAAATATTAATAACCTTTTTTAATTTCGTAATGTTTACTGGTTTATTTATCCATTAGTTTTATATGAAAAGGGAAAACTAAATCATCATTTTGTAATAAAATTATTGGAATTTTAAAAGTAAGAAAATAGTTCTTGGAGGCGCCGGGCATCGATCCCGGTACCTCTCGCATGCTAAGCGAGCGCTCTACCATCTGAGCTACGCCCCCAGTTGGTAGTGTGATGTTATACTACGTATCTGAATTGCTAATTTATAGAAAAACAATGTATAGTCTGTTTATAAAAAGTAACTATAGTCCGTTTAACAGTTTTATATTAAAATTCAAAACTTATTT